GTCTATTGCTGGGCAAAAGCTGAACATATTTAGGTTGCTGGATATGATCTACATAATCAATTAAGGAGCAGCTGTGCTCGAATAACTCTAAATATTCCACAATACTTGGGGCAAAAATGACTACCTATGGTCTCCTAAAGAGGATCTTAAGATTTGAACAACTTGCTATACTTCTGTGCATTCACCAAAAGTATATGAATATGCTTATGCTACCCACACATGCCTAAGACGGTTGATAAAACATTTCTGTTCTACCAGGGAATACGAAATTGGCCAATGTGGCTATCCACTCTCCCCAAAGTACAGCTTAAATCCCAATATTTTAAAGCTCTCCAGATTTTCTTTTGCATTACCAAGATAAATCACTGGATCAAGCAGCACTTTTATTACTGTGTTGAGAATCTGGTAAATATATGCAAAACTCTGGAGGCACCAACTCCAAATAATTCTCCTGTTAGTTTTCACTGCATGGTGTGTGTGTGTGTGTGTGTGTGTGTGTGTGTGTGGGAGGGTAATGTTCAAGTGTGAGCATAGTTATAGCAGCCTTTTCTGGGGAAATTGGCTAGAATCATAGGTGTTCCATCTTTTTTCTAGAGTCTTAAGCAGTTAAAAAAGTTTACTTGGACATAAAAATAAACAAATTGTACAACTTATTAACTTATTATCAAACTTATTATCAAAGGTTATGGCACTCCTCACATCAAATAGTCTTACTTGGTGAAAAGTACAGATATACGGAGACATTACTAATAGTTTTGCACTGAACTGACATTCCTCTTAACATACATTTTCTGTTGTGTTCTTCTCAGAAGATTACCCAAAAGTAATTGGTCATTTCCAAAATTACTCTAGTATAGGCTTGCCAAGTCCCCCCGGGGGGGCTGGAAACCCCCCGCCCCAGAGGCCCGTTCCCTGCCACCAGTGGATTGGGCCCCAGGGGGAGCCCCACCCCGACGTGTGCATCACCCAGAAGTGACACAACCATGCTGGGCACGCTGGGGGCGGGGCCACGGTCATCCGAGGGAAAACTCTATGGTTTTCCCTCGGATGGTCGTGGCCCCACCCCCAGCGTGCCCGGCCTCGTCACGTCACTTCCGGGCGCTCCAGATGCCAGCCGGGAGTCCCCCGCTGCGGCGCAACACCCGACTTGGCAACCCTACTCTAGTAGAACCCAATCATGATTTTGCCATTGACTATTTCTTGTGTCATCTACTCACTTGGGATTGCTGAAATCTCCACTATGATCTACGTCACTGGTCCTTGTCTCCTATTGTTGTACAAACAGAGTGAGAAATCTGCAGTCTGGTCTGATGTTGGGATTGTGATGCTGAAGAATTTCCTGTGGTTCTGTTCTTTTGACATAAATCATGGATGCCATTTTTGCAAATGAAAAATTCGTTTTGTAGCTAACAGAGACTTGTAGTGTGATCCAATCAAAATACAGTACTATATTAGAAAAGTCATGTGCATTGGAATGTTTCATTTGCAAAAGTGGTAGATAAAAACAGTGATTGTGCTGTAATACTGCACAAAATTGATTTCAGATTACATTTCCCGTCCACAGAACTACTGTGCTATTACAAGTCCTCTTTCAGTTACAATTTTCTCAATACCAATCAATAGTGGGAGACACTGTAAACCTTTGTTACTTGAAAATGTTATTGAGGTTTAGGCAGAGTGGCTTGACTAGTGTGTTCATGCCAGAGGCAAGATTCAAGTTGTTGGTGGTAGGGAACTTTCTGAGACATTTTATCACACCTACAGACTTTAAATGCATGCATTCAGAAGTTTTCCCATGAAACCACCACCAGTAACTTCTCTATTAATATTAAGAATTATTTTTAATCTATAAAATTTATTCACTAGTATTTTACTCTGTAATCACTATTGCACTCTGTAATCACTATTGCACTCTGTAATCACTATTGCACTCTGTAATCACTATCAGAAGCAGCTGTTTGATTCTTGAAATCTCTAATTGTTACTGATACAATTGACATATTCAAGTTCCCCAGATTCAAGTAACCTAATCTGCATATATGCAAATTATCATTATACAAATCAAACACATTAAGTGTTGGGTAATCTACCACTTATTTGGTGTTCTCCTGTTAACTCCTGTTTCTTTACAGAAACAGTTAAGAAACTCAAGAGTAGTCCATAACCTTAACCAGTAATTGGACTCCAGAAGTGCTGTTACTGAATGCTTGCCAAGAATAAGCTGTATTTATTTGTAAAATTTCTACGCTGCCTCTTCAGACAACCTGTTCAAGGCAGTTTATAAAGCAAAATATGATTAAAAAAAACACAAAACATCACCCAATTGTTAAGAATGAATAAACTATTAAAACCCAATAGCTGGACCACTAGACCATTAGAAAAGTATAAAACATTTCTCATAAAACAGTTCTTGGAAGCAAGAAACAGACTATTAAAAAGCCCCAAACAATTTTAAGAGAATATCCTCTGGGTAAAAAGAAATGTTTTGGCCTGGTAGCTCAGCAAGAGTAGGTTAGGTGCCAGGTGAACCTCAAAAGGAAGAATTCCCTGCCCTGACCTGGATAGCCCAGGCAAGCCCAATCTCGTCAGATCTCATCAGATCTTGGAAGCTAAGCGGGTTGACTCTGGCAAGTACTTGGATGGGAGACCTCCTTGGAATGTTTTGTTTCTGGGCCTTATAAATTATGGTTTTAAATGCCAATATCAGACAAACCAACAATTCTCCAGGTCCAGATGGCATACACCTGAGAGCTCTTAAAGAACTCAAATGTGAGAGAGTTGATATACCAACCTGTCTATGTAACCTATCACTAAATTCAGGCGCTGTACCAGAAGACTGGAGAGTAACAAATGTTACCATGGGCAAGTGGGCGTCGATGTGGCAAATGGGGTTCAATGTGCCCAAGTGCAAGGTGATGCACATTGGAGCCAAAAATCCTAACTATAAATACACGTCGATGGGGTCTGAACTGGCAGAGACTGACCAAGAGAGATATCTTGGAGTTGTAGTAGATAACTCACTGAAAATGTCAAGACAGTGTGCGACGGCAATAGGAAATGTCAATGTTACGCTGGGGATTATTAGGAAGGGTATTGAAAACAGATCAGCCAATATCATAATGCCCCTGTATAAATCAATGGTACAACCTCATTTGGAATAGTGTGTACATTTCTGGTCACCACACCTTAAAAAGGATATTATAGCTTTGGAAAAAGAGCAGAAAAGGGCAACTAGAATGATAAAAGGGTTGGAACACTTTCCCTATGAAGAAAGGTTAAAGCACTTGGAGCTCTTTAGCTTGGAGAAATGATGGCTGAGGGGTGACATGATCGAGATTTATAAGATTATGCATGGGATAGAGCAGGTAGAGAAAGAGGTACTTTTCTCCCTTTCTCACAATACAAGAACTCTTGGGCACTCCATGAAATTGCTGAGCGGTCGGGTTAGAACAGATAAAAGGAAATACTTCTTCACCTAAAGAGTGATTAACACATGGAATTCACTGCCACAGGAGGTGGTGGCGGCTACCAGCATGGACAGCTTCAAGAGGGAATTAGATAAGCATATGGAGCAGAGGTCAATCGGTGGCTATTAGCCACAAGGTATAGATAGCGACTCTGGGGCAAGTGATGCTCTGTTTTTTTGGTGCTTGGGGGGGGGTCAATAGTGTGAGGGCTTCTAGTGTCCTGGCCCCACTGCTGGATCTCCTGATGGTACCTGGTATTTTTGGCCACTGTGTGACAGAGGATTGGACTGGATGGCCCGTTGGCCTAATCCAACATTGGCCTCTCTTATGTTCTCCCTCCACATTCACAGGAAATGCCAGGAGGCAACATCAGGGGAAGGCCTTGGCCTCTCTGCCCTTTTGTTGACCCTCCAGAGGAACTGGTTGGCCACTGTGTGAGACAGGGTGCTGGACTAGATGGATCACTGGTCTGATCTAGCAGGGCTCCTCACATGTTCTTATGTCCAATATTTTGTATTGGAGCCTGGTGTTATGGCTGTTGGATGGATTGCTCTGACTGATATTGCTGAGATTTTAGTATTTATTCTTGTGGCTGTTGTTCAGTATTCTTTTACACTGTCTTGAGACATTTTGGGATACTAATATTTTAAAATAAATAAATCCAAAGCTCTGTGTCCCTGAATAATACTTCTTAAAAGATTGACCATTAAGATTAGTTCACCCTTTAGCTTTTCTCTTCTAGTGAATAATTCAATTTTCACAGATTAATTTACCCATGTACTCAAGATGAAATAAAAGTTATGGCTATGAACATGGAGAAAACAGGTATTTGTGAACCAGTTATTAATTTGCTTCATTTCCAAATAATAAGAGAAAGTGAAATAAATGTTTGATTTATAATGCAGTAGACATTTTCCCAACCAGTTATGGCCAATTTTTAGTAAAATGAATACTGTGCTTTGAACCTAAATGGCAGAAGCTCATTGCTTTTAAACCCATCATACCCATTAATAGAGCCCTCAGGAAAGTCCTCTCATTGAATTAAATAATATGACTCAGAGCACCTGTCTCAGGCTAGCATTAAAATGGGCTGAAGAAGAAGCTATAGGAAACCTATTACCATAAAGATCTGCTTTTTACAACCCTTTTCATCTTCAGCTGTCATTAACCAAATGAACTACTGACAACATCAAGATGAAGCTTTGAGCCCTACAGCAGATCTGCTCTCTGATGCCCCAAAATGCCCAGGGAAGAAGAATTCAGCTCATTTTATTTTATAACATGGTATTAATCTTACTTTTTTTTCAAATTTCATTTTTTAAAAAATCACAAGGAAAAATAAGGGGGGGGATGTAAGTTTCCATGTGGAGTATTTTTGTGGAGGCACCTTAGATATAATGTAGAACTGAATTATTCTCCAGGATGTTTGAAGAAAGGGATTTGTTGTAGTTAATAGCATTTTAGCAAGTACAACTGTGCAGGAGCTGCATTCTATTTTGAAGCAGTAAAGGAACATTCTGTGTTGAAACTTACTATGTTGGCAGTGGATCCCATTAAATCCTTCTGAGCACTTGCAGACATAGCCTATGAAGGTGTCTCCTCTGTATGCTTCACTAATTTCACATGTCCCACCATTATGACAGGGATTAGGAATGCATGGTCCTGAAAGACAAAAAAGAAAATGACCTATCAAACATTTGAATGAAAAGAATTATGTGGACTACTAGCTCCATTTTATGGTGACTTCTCATGGTGCAGGTGCTTTGAGGATACAAATGACCAGGGGTCATTTCGTAGAAAAAGAGCTAGAGGAATTCATTAGCATAACTCATTAGCATATGCCACACCCCCTGACATCACCGGAAGTGTGTCATAATGCCACACACCCCGCCCCCAATGGTCCCGGCCGCCGGCGCCGGCCTTGCAGCTCCACTGCCGAGCCCCATGAGGGGCAACTTACCCTCCCTCTTCTCCTGCCTCCTCCTGGCTGAATGAGGGCCGGAAGCGGGGCGGCCGGAAGCAGGGGGCGGGGCTTCGTCATGTGCCCCACCCCCCGTACCTCACCGGGGGGAACTGCGATCCCCCGCGATCCCCCCCGAAATGACCTCTGCAAATGACTAATCTCTAAGGCTAAAATATTAATACATCAATACTATAAATAAAAATAACTGGTTACAAGAGAATCAAATAATTATGTTATTCTGCAATTCTTGGATGTTATATAAAAAGACTGAAAATAGTCTTTATCAGAACCACAGTCTTCTCATCTCTCCATCACTCCTTCCTGTTTTCTCTCTTATTATACATTACCAATTATATATTATTATTTGTTGCTGACTATATTTTCAACAAGCTACAATGCTGAACAAATGAGCTATCCCACTGAGATTGCAAGGTTCAAACCAGGTCCTCAATTGCCTGTTTGTTACCATGAAATCCTTTCTGCAGCCTCTCACAGTGAGAAGTAAAGTATGTAAATAGGTGTGACAGGGCTGAAAAAGATATTTCAGTAATTAGATAAGGGAAAAGACAATAGCAAGCTTTGGAGGTTTTCAGTGTGGGGCAGGGTTTCCTTCACAGTGATATAAAATGGAATATTTCATCTATTTGCTCACTGTTTGTTTTTTAAAGAATGATTGAACCCAGAAAGCTGAGTGCCTGAGAGCTCTCTAACAGTTCCGCTGCTGGGTGGTGGTGGTGGTGGTGGTGGACAGGACCTGTGACCATTCACAGCTTACATTTGATAACTTAGTCCAGGGGTTTTCATTACCTACTTACAAAGTAACTCTGCAGTACCTTCTTCCTTCCTAACTTAAAACACAGGAATTTCACACCAGTTAACACTGAACGTTTGAGCTAGGTTGCCAGATTTGTGTAGGGGATTCCTGGAGATTTGGGTGCAAAGCCTGAGGATGGTAGAGTCTGGGAAGGGCAGGGTGCTCAGCTATGATTTTCTTCAATTCAATTTGTCTCTGTGGTCTGGATATCAGTCATAATACTTGGAGAACTCCAGACCCCAGCTGGAGTTGAGTGTCTATATGCATGCAACGGCCCAGGAACAAGCCAGTGACACCAAATTCACAGGGAAACCTCACCTGGGCAGCTCGCCCCAGTAGACACTAGAAGCAAGACAAGTATCCCCTCTACCCTCACAGCCCCCCCCCCCAAGTCTCCGAAGGCAGGTCCTGAAGAACAGAAAACCAGACTGCCCCAGAGTTCTGACATGGGTTTCTCAAAGTTACCCCACAGCACCCTAGCCACACCAGACAAGCAATGGAAGCAGCTCACAACTCTCATACCCCCCCCAGACTGAAACACCATGGTGTATTCTTCTATTATGCATAGAAAAACGATTGGCTGGGCCATTCACAATTCTCCAAAGGCAGATTTGGAAAGACAGAAAAGGCATGCATGACAAGACTTCTGACAGAGGCTCCCCAAAGTAACCCCACAACAACAATTGGGTGGGCACCCCATCCACACCAGACAAGCAAGGAAAGCATGCCCACAACTCTCACAGCCCCCCCCCCCACAATTCTGCAATGGCAGATCTGAAAGGATAGAAAGGCAGAAATGACAAGACTTCTGGCAGGGACCCCCCTCCAAAATAACCCCACGACTGCTTGGTAGGCATCTCAGTCCCACTAGATAAGTGGAAATCAGTTTTCCATTTAAGTGATACGAACAGTCCTGCATAATAAAGACAGTACAGTTTCTTGCCTAAGCAAGTATTTATAGATTGAAGTGTTGACGTATGTCCATGCACTGAAATAATGCACAGGGACTATTTCAAGTATTTTCCTAATTAATAGATATGCCTCTAGGGTTGCTTCCATATTGGATGTTAGGACTGGCTCCTCTACAATTTCTCCAAGGTGAGGGCAGATTATATCTATGGGCTTCCATTTATGGACCCCGCAAAAGGTCTCCCACATATATACCCTCCCATCCCTCCTGATGGTGAACACCTCAGTGTGCCATGAGGGTGAAAGAGGGTGCAAAGGGTGCTCATTGTGGGGGGAAGACGTCTTCCAGCAGTGATTCAGATGGTGAGGAGAAAGAATCCTTCCCTTCCACATACCAACTCCTGGTTGCAGCTCTCGCCACAAATACACCCCTTTGTGGCCTCTCTGAGCCCAGTCCAAGAAAGCAGCTATGCCTCATAGAATCATATCATAGATCATAGAGTTGGAAGGGGCCATAAAGACCATCTACTCCAGCACCCTGCCCAATGCAGGACCAGCCTAAAGCATCTCTGACAAATATTCATCTAGCCTCTTCTTGAAAGCTGCCAGTGAAGGGGAGTTTACCACCTCCATAGGCAGCTGATTCCACCTTTGAACCACTCTGACCGTGAAAAAGTTTTTCCTAATATCCAGCCAATATCTTTCTGCATGTAATTTAAACCCGTTGCTTCGGGTCTTATCCTCTGCTGCCAACTGGAACAGTTCCTTGCCTCCTACCTTCTCTAATCCTGGGACCACAGTTTAGAAACATTTGTTCATCCTCCCCAGTGATCCCTGTGTGGCAGAGTGCCAGGTGTGCAACACCCATGTCTGGAGGGGTACAAACCCACCCCAACACTTGTTCTCCTCCATTCTCCACAGGCAACTGCAAAGGGTGCACCCCCATGTTGCTGCCAGAGGAAAGAATGGCAGCCAGTAGGAGGAAGAAGAGGCCTACTCCCTCTCAGCATGGAGAAGCAGAGGGGGAGCAGGAGGCCCCTCCAAAAAAGGCTCCACACACTTGGGTTGTTGTGGGTAGGACATCAAGGCAGGTCACCCTTCAAGGAATCAAAAGGGCTATGTGGAGGGCTCAGGCAGCAGTCACTCACGTTGTCGGTGAGATGATTGCTGTGAATGGCTAACTTTCTTCCCTCATGGAGGATGTAGCCTTCCACTGGCTGCAGTGGTGATGGTCAAGGCTCAGCTCTCCAGAGTGCAAGGCAGAACAAGGCACTTCATGGCAGACCTCTGGAGCAGTCAACAGGATGGTCAGGGCACAGCCCAGGCCTCAGGAGGGACAGTCTACCACTGTGCTACAAAGTGTTTCTGCTCCATGTGCAGGGGAGGGATGCAGACCGCAAAACATTGCCGCCATGTGATACACAGTAGCCTGAGGTAGTGGATGGGCACTGGCAACTTCATCTGTGGCTACATGGTCATGGACACCAGCACCAACATGGTGGCAGAAGTGAAGGGTGTGCTTCACCTGGTGGTGGAGGATGTTCTGGGGCTGGGGAGCACTGTCAGAGCCTTCTGGGATGCTGTCCCCCTCAAGATGCGATCTTTACTTAAGACCTGCCAGTGCCTGGCTGCCCACTTCTGGCACAGCATCAAGTCTGCTTATCTGCTGCACAGGAGGCAGGGGGAAGGGGATGAGGATCTCCATCTATGCCATGATTGTGTGTTTGGTGGAGCAGAACAGTGCCATACAGGATGTTCTCTCCTCCATGATCATCCTGCATGGGGAAGAGGAGCTCAGCATCAGCTCCAATGACTAGCTGACCCGCTCCCAAATGGTGCATGCCCTCAAACCCTTCCAGGACACCACTGATATGCTGTGAGCCCATATGGGCCCCTGATTCAAGGGCTGGACCAGACACTGGCCTCTGCATTGGAGCTGGCTGTTCTCCCACGGGTCAGTGCCTTGGCAGAGAGGTTGCAGGTGGGCATCACCACCAGGTTGCATCCTCTCTGCAAGGAAGGAGAGTACAAGCTGGCCTGTATCTGTGACTCCCAAATAAAAGGCAGCATTGCTCTCTGGAATGCAGAGCTCTTGCAATGGAAGTGTGAGCTCTGCAAAGAAATGCAGAGGCTACAGGCCAACAGACATGGTCAGAGGGAACAGTGGGTGGAAAAAGCTGGGGAGGAGGAGCTGCAGCCCAGCACCTCTGCTTCAAAGAACCCAACCAGAGAAAAGTCCCACTACTGGTTGTCAGTAGTGAGCCAAGAGGTCAGCAGCAGCAGCAGGGATTCCAGGCGTGCAATGGCAGAGAATTCTTCAGAGGTGATGGTAAAGCTGTCATCTGGCCCAACCTCTCTTGCATGGCCATGAGCCCTGAGTCCACCTAACACCCAAACCCCAGCAAGTTCACAATCAGGAGGATATAAAATGTGAGTCCTCAGCTGAAGCAGTTGGCATGAACAGACAGAGCCCTGAGTCCACCTAACTCCCAAACCCCAGCTGGGGAGAGGAATTCACAATCAGGAGGGAATAAATGAATGTGCTCTGCTAGTTGGCTTTTAACATGTTCTTTGCCTCTTTGTGTAACTGCCAGCATCCAACAGAGGAGAGGCTATGTAGCTGAGCATATATATAGCATTTGGCTCCCATAGAGCAGAATGGGAACTCTATTATTGGCAGCAGGGGTCATTTCGTAGAAAAAGAGCTAGGGGAACTCATTAGCATAACTCATTAGCATATACCACACCTGACATCACCGGAAATGTGTCATAAGGCCACACACCCCGCCTCCAACGGTCCCTGCCGCCGGTGCCGGCCTTAAAGCTCCACTGCCGTGCCCCATGAGGGGCCTGGCGGTGGACCTGCAAGGCTGGTGGGAGTGCAAGGAAGCCCTGCGAAGGCCCTCCCTGGCCCCAGGCAGGCAGGGGTGGGGAGAGGCAGGGAGGAAGCAACTTACCCTCCCTCTTCTCCTGTCT